AGCGATTAAAAAGTCAATGTCTAGCAAAAAAACTGTCATGCGGGGTAACTGTCTAGCGAGGCACCACTGTAAATAAATAAAAAAATTGGATGTAGGTTTTGTGTCTGTGTGGTGAGATCACTGAATAATGGGGGCTCCATTTGGGAATCTGTGTTGCAATTTGCTTACTCCTGCTGTATTCAGTGGCCAAATTCCTGTTGCTTAATGTAGTAAATCACACTTGAGCAGTCCCATTGAATCAATGGGGATTTAGTGAGTCAATTCCTCTGTATATTTTATGGGTGTACTTTGTGACTTATTTTCCATAGTATATTGCAATTAAAGTAGTCCCATTTGAGTCAATGGAATTTATAGAGGAGTTGACTCACCAAATTGTCCCTTGATTCAATGTACCTCCCTAGTGTAATTTAGTAGACTACCCAAGATGATTTTGCCCTTTGTGTGAAAGCCCACGATCATATATATTTAGGTATCATTGCTCAAAGCCAATTATGACTGAAGTGAAGAACAACAGAACCACAAAACGATAACTATAAGTAATATGCCACAAACTTATCCTTTTCTAACCTGACAGTGTGGAATTGCACAATGACTGAGGCCATACTTTATGCAATGTGGTCTGAGATAGGTTATCTGGCAAACCCCAGGCATCCACACTACTAAGGATTTTGACTTAGGGAGCATCAGGCAAGAAGAATCACTCATCTCACTGTTTTGCTGATATAATCTATTCCATTGGCAGGAGGGGATAACTGGGTGTTACGGTGTTTTGTCTTACTGTTAGACCTTAAATCTGTTGTGTTCTTTCAGATTATTTGTTTGAACAGAATATAAACAAAAATTCAGTTCTCCGAGGTTATTCAAAGGATCCTGTAAGCATACTTACCTCTGAATTTTTATAGTATATACTACATAGAATTTTTTCCAAAAAGCATTTTATCTTGAGACTCAAATGCCGATCCACAGGTTTTCCATAAAAACATACCACAATCATAAATGGTGTGGTCGGGTTTTAAATTATGAGACTGTGATTGCTAACTGATTGTACCCAATTGGTCATGTCATAAAAATATAATCCTCTTACTTTCACATATCTTAGCAGAGAGAAAAAAGTGTTGTGTGACAAGGAAATAGTCACTATGACGTTCAAAATCTGAGGGGAAAAATAATTACACTTGGAAATATTCACATAATTAATGGCTTAAAATAAGTGAAATATTAAGACAGGTTCATGAGGATTTTATGTTTGGCCTCCACTCAGGGTATATGATTGTCATAAGCTGGAAATACCTTGGCAGCTTATAACGGCTAATGCACACATTAGAGATGGGCACAAATCAGATTTTGATTCATTATTCATTAAGGCCGACACTTCACAAATTACAAATTTATGATTTTTTTCTGATAAATTGATGAATTGATCTGTCAGTTTGTTTTTGACTTTAAAACCCTATATGGCTCCCAAGCACCTAGAAATACAAAATTCACAAATTCCCATGACTCTCCTCTACAAGATCTGCAAGTTTGGTAAAGTTTGGGTTTTGGACATCTGAGTTATACACTCACAGGGAGCTCCCCCCCCCAAGAGGAAAGTTCCCTCCAGGCATCTAGAGACACCAAAATCATGGCAAAGCTTCTACTGACTCTCCCCTACAGTCCCTCCATGTTTGGTAAAGATCGGATTTCAGACATACACCCACAAAGTTGGTCCCTCCCCCCAAGGAAAGTGCCCTTTAGCAGCTGGTTTGGAGAAACCCAATCTACACCAAACTTGGAGGGACTGTAGAGGAGAATAATGGGAAGCTTCTCTGCAGTTTTGATGTCTCTAGGTGCCTGGGGGGAACTTTCTGGGATGCTCCTTCTGGGATTATAACTCGGACATCTGAAATCCAATCTTCCCTCTGCAGTTTTGATGTCTTTAGGTGCCTGGGGGGAACTTTCTGGGGGGCTCCTTCTGGGAGTATAACTCGGACATCTGAAATCCAATCTTCACAAAATATACCCTAATAGTATTTTTAAAATAGTGAGATTTTTAAGGTGTGGCTTTAACAACGCTACCTCCAAATGAGTTTCCATAGTAAGCAGGGATTCCTAGCAGTGAATAGAATGTTGGACTAGAACTCAAGAGTTGTGGGTTCAGATCTATGCGTTATACCATGTTCTATTGACATGTGCATACAGTATATGTACATGTGCTCCAATATCAGAAAATAATCACTGGCCAAAATTTTGTTGCATAGCATAGTAAATTGCACTAGAGTAGGCTCACTGAGTCAATGAGGATTTAGTATGGCAATACCTCTACTGGTTCCAATGATTCAACTGTGCCTACTACTATAATCCAGTTAGAGTAGGCCTAGTTGAATCAATATAACATATGGAGGGGGGCTTGACTCACCAAATCCCCATTGATTCAATAGATGTACTCTAGTGCTGTTTGGTATGATAATTAACAAGATTTTGGGCTTTATATATTAGCACACAAATGGTGCAAATTTGATTAGTTGACATGAAGGTTCACAACTGTTTGGATATATCTCTAAACTATTGATCTTTTAGCATTTTTGCCGTTGTACCCCTCTATTGGTTAAGTAACATATTGGCATAAAATTTTTAAAAACCTCAATTCTTTTCATCAGTGCCTGACTGCAGTCTTATTAACACATTAGAAGGATTCCCCTGGTTTGTGCATGTACTTTATATGGACTAGGCACCGAAACAGCATGGCTAATGCTTAAAAATCCTCGGGGTTGACTTCTCTGAGAAAAGTGAACATTAAAATTGACCTATGGAACTGGCAGCTGGTACATGTTGATAGCATTGGAAGAGAAAATTTCAGGAGTTTGCATATTTTTAGGATAAACAGTTTAATACTGTATTAGACAATGAGGGTGGGGCGAGAGAGAGGAAGGGATTTTCATAGTTTATGTCAATATATGACTTGACCAAGGTTCGCACTGGTGGAAAAGTGAGGTTAGTAGCCTTTGGCTGCCATCGAAAGTCATGTAATTTAAAGTGGCCTATCTGATATAACTTACTCTGGAACCAATTATTTCAGGCTTGCGGCTTTTGTAGGTAGGCAAAAAAATAAAATAAAAAACAAACACAAACAAAGAAACCCACTTAAGGTAAAGAGATACTTAGGAACTTGGCATGTCTTCTAGCGTACTTGGGAAATCTTCACAGTGCATCTATGAAGGAACAACCCTCACAGCTTTACAAAAAGATATATATAGAATACACATATGTATATAACTAGTGGGCTCCTTGCCCTACAATAACATCATCAAAAAAGGACTAACAAGCCGGAGGTTGCTAAGGCTAAACAACATAAACGAAGAACTGAGATACATGTTCCATTCACCACTTTATGGCAATTTTGAGTTCATATTGCAGCAGTGGTTAGGGCATGGCTTGATAATAATCGTAGTGTAAGCTTAGAAGGATAGGATTTAAATAAGTGTTGTCCTTCTAAAGCTTAGAATCTAAACCCCAAAGAAATTACCGGGCAGGAACAAAAAGCTTGGAAAACTTTTGTTAACCATGCCTTTGGCACAGTATTTCTCAGTGTGGTTACATTGTTAGTGATTCTCTGATAGAGCAGGGCTTATGGTGTAGGTTCAGGATGGTTAAGGAGAAGTGTGAAATCTGGCAGCTTCTTATGTGATCCTATGAACGTCAGTATTAAGAAGTTGGGTCAGTAGATGGAATTTATTTCTATGCATGAAGTCATTTCAAGGTCAAGTCTCCCACATTTCTCATTCACAATTCACATTTCACTCAGCTCATTCAATCACTGCCATGAACAAGACCTATGAACGAATATGGTTCAATATTGTTTCAAGCACCCTACATGGTAGAGTCCTTACTTGAAATATTTACTTAATAGATTGCCCATGCCAAATTTGCTCTATGCCAGCTTTCAAGACTCACTTCCTTTAAAAGTATGGATTGACCAGACATCTCCTGTCCGAAGTGAGCCTTCTCAACCTTCACAAGTGGATGATGGTTAATGTTTATTGTTTGAGGAGGAAAATTAGGGAGAACAATATAAGCCTTGCCTTGCATTTTAAGAACCCCCTCTGAAAGTTAATAACATGGGAAGCCAAAGGGGAGTTCCCTCCAGCATGATCAATGAAATGAAGTAATAAATCCTAAGTGTCTTTTGTTCAAAGGTGATTATATAGAAGTTGTGTATTAAAATACCAGAGTTTGATTATGTAGTTATCAGCTTTCAAGTAATTAATTCAGAGATTTTCTCAGAACTTGGAAGTGATGAGTCACATTGTTACTTGTAATTCATTCCTTTTGGCAAAAATGAACCTCAAATACCACTCTCCAAAAGAAGAAAAGAAAGGAAGAGAAGGGAAAAGAAACAAAAGGGTAATGATAAGAGCTAAGAAATCTTCTTTTTCTTGACAACATGACATGGTTCCTCTTATGACTCATTCTGAAGGCGCCCTGCTCTGAAACCTTACCTCTGCTGCACTGTAGTCTTTCAATCAAAAACCAAAACACAGAAAGACTAATAGGTTCCCAGAGGTACTAATTGTGCAATATTTCTGACATTGGTCTATAAAGATAAAATGTTAGAGTGTCCTAATCATATAGCTCTAGCGTGGTCCAGTATTATAGCTCTAGGGTATTACAGTGATATATCTCTGAAGTGCTAATTGAAAATACACTGTACAGATCACAGCTCTATAACATTTTGGGGAGAGATGCTTGCTCTCTTTTTGTCTCATTGCTATTAATATCAAATTTCCATCTGATTTCTGAAACAGCAGAATTATGATCCACCACAGTTTATTTTTTTTGTACAATTACCACAGCCCGCACTTAGCACAGTTTGTGATAACAACCCTAATGGCATTTCAATAGAAAAACAACAAAGTGATATTCCAAACATTTTTGCTTTGGGGCCCTAGATAATAAAATCTTTCCCCAGGTTAATTGAGTGAATAAACAATCTAGTTAAACATCATTTATTATACACCAACCTTGAAGCTGGCGCCCTTTGAATAAGTCTTTTGTTTTGCTTGGATGAGCTCTGGCACTGTTATCACACTTGGGTTGTTCATATCTAAAGGGAGAAGGGGGAAAAAAGAAAAGGCAACAAGGGGAAGTCAGAATCTACAATTTGCAAAGCTATGTAGTCACACTGAAGCTCAGCACAGAGTCTCTGAAAAGCCTCTCTCTAAAGTTATAAGCCTGCCCAGATGTACTCAAATGCCAAATAAAGCACATGCTATAAATCCATTATTTATTATTCATATTCCCTGGGATAAAAATTGCTGAGTGTTTTTGAAAAACTCTTTTCAAAAATGGGTTCCAAAATGCTTCTTCTTGATTTCACAATACTCTCTGATGGTGGTTTCCTTGTGTTGGCCAGTCATTTTAGCTTAAGACTCCATAGCAAAGTTTTATGGTCTTTGAAAACTGCTGTTATGTTTCTTCCTAATTGTCATGTGCTTGAAGCAAGATCACATGCCCAGGCCCATCATATCTTCCAGCAGGTCCCTTCCCAAGTCTTGTATAGCAATGATCCCCAACCTTGGGCCTCCAGATGTTCTTGGACTTCAACTCCCAGAAATCCTGGCCAGCAAGGGTGGTGGTGAAGGCTTCTGTGAGTTTTAGTCCAAGAACATCTGGAGGCCCAAGGTTGGGGACCACTGTGGTATAGAATCATAGAAAAGTGAAGTTGGAAGACCAAGGCCATCAAGTCCAACCTCCTGCTCAATGCAGGAATACAATCAAAGCACAGCTGCCAGGTTATTATCTACATTTTTCTGGAATACCTCCTGTGTTGGAGCACTCACCAGCTCCTGAGGCAACTGGTTCCACTGTCATACTGCTTTAACAGTTAGGACGTTTTTCCTGATATTCAACCAAAATCTGGCTTCCTTTAACTTGAGCCCATTGTTGCCTGCCCTGCACTCTGGGATGATCGAGAACAGATCTTGCTCCTCCTCTGTATGACAGCCTTCCAAATATTTAAAAATAGCTATCATATCACCCCCTAAGTCTTCTTTTATCAAGGCTAAACATGCCCAATTCTTTCAGCCTTTCCTCATAAGGCTTGGTTTCCAGCCCCCTGATCCTGCTTGTCGCCCTCCTCTGAACTTGTTCCAATTTGTTAGCATCCTTCTTGAAGTGTGGTGTCCAGAACTGGACACAATATTCAAAGCGAGGCCTAACCAGTGCTGAATAGAGGGGGACTAGCACCTCATGAGATTTAGAAACTATACTTCTATTAATGTAGCCTAAAATAGCATTTGCCTTTTTTGTAGCCACATCACACTGTTGGCTCATATTTAGCTTGTGATCTATGACAATTCCAAGGTCCTTCTCGCTCGTAGTTTTGCTGAGCCAGGTATCCCCCATCTTGTAACTGTGCAATTGGTTTCTTTTTCCAAGGTGCAGGACTTTGCACTTATCTCTGTTGAATTTCATTCTGTTGCTTTCAGCTGAGTGCTCCATCCTATCAAGGTCATTTTGAATTTTGTTTCTGTCTTCTGGAGTATTAGCTATTCTGTCCAATTTGGTTTCATCTGCAAATTTGAGAAGCATTACCTGCACTTCCTCATTCAAGTAATTAATAAAAATATTGAAGAGCATCGGGCCCAGGACTAAGCCTTAGGTTACCCCACTTGTTAGCTCCTTCCAGTTAAATAAGGACCCATCATCACCCTCTGTGTACATTTCTCTAGCCAATTGTGTATCCACCTGACACTTGATCTATCCAGCCCACATCTAGTTAGCTTGCTAATCAGGATATCATGGGGCAATTTGTCAAAAGCTTTGCTGAAGTCAAGATATACTATGTCTACAGCATTCCCTCTGTCTATCAGGGACGTGACTTAATAAAAAAAACAAGATCAAATTAGTTTGGCAGGATTTGTTCTTAACAAATCCATGTTGGCTTCCAGTTATTACTACCTTGTTTTCTAGGCGCTCGCACAATGACCGCTTTACGATTTGTTCCAGAATTTTGCCTGGGATTGATGTCAGGCTGACTGACCTGCCATTCCCAGGTTCCTCTTTTCTGCTATTCTTGAAGATAGGGACAACTTTGGCCCTTCTCCGGTCCTCTGGCACCTCCCCCGTTTCCCATGATTTCAAGAAAATAATGGATAGCAGGTTCTGAGAGTTCTTCAGCCAGTTCCTTCAGTACTCTTGGATGCAGTTCATCCGGCCCTGGAGATTGGAACTTGTTTAAGGTGGTAAAGTATTGCTTGACTATTCATTTATCAATCTCCAGATGCAATCCTGCCCCCCCCTTGCACTTCCAATTTGTCTGGAAGTTCATAGTCTGTCTTATGGGAAAGGACGGTCCTCTGTAATCATTTTTCCATCTCCATTGCGCAGCTTTGTTACTATGTCTTTTGTTTGTCGTTTGCTACTTACATACCTGAATAATGCTTTTTTAATTGTTGTTAGTGCCTCTTGAGCGTGCCCTGGACTGCAAAGAGAACAAACCTATCAATTATGAAGGAAATCAACCCTGGGTGCTCACTGGAAAGACAGATCCTGAAGCTGAGGCTCCAATACTTTGGCCATCTCATGAGAAGAGAAGACTCCTTGAAAAAGACCCAGATGTTGGGAAAGTGTGACGGCAAGAGGAGAAGGGGACGACAGAGGATGAGATGGTTGGACACTGTCACCGAAGATACCAACATGAATTTTGGGAACATCTGAGAGACAGTGGAAGACAGGAGGGCCTGGTGTGCTCTAGTCCATGGGGTCACAAAGAGTCGGACATGACTGAATGACTAAACAATAATAAAAGTGTCTCCAACTAACCTCAGGTCATTCTCAGCTTTTGCCCTCCTAATGCCATCCCTGCATTTCCTTGCTACTTGTCTGTACTCATCCTTGGTGGCCTGGCCTTCTTTCCATTTCCTTTACATGTCTTTTTTAGTTTTTAGGTCCTCCCTGAGGTTTTTATGAAGCCACGCTGGCCTTTTTTTGCTGCCTCCCCCCTTTTTTTCTTGTTGGAATTGTTTGTAGTTGTGCCTTTAGCATTTTTTTAAGAAGCTCCCATACTTCTTGGACTTCTTTTCTTGTTAGGATTAAGAAAACATATTTATTTAAATGTGTCTCTTGTGAGACATATCTGGATCCAATATATTATTGGTTGTTGTTCTACCATTTATTATATTAGTCAATGTACTTACAGATAACATAGATCATATCAATGTACAATAGTATATTACATGCACTGTAAATTATCTAAACATACACAGTAAATTATCCTAACACACACAGTTTATAGGCATAAATAACCACACAACAGTAATACAGATAGGCAGAATCTGAAATTAGTCATGGAACTGTTCCTGAATCTGTCAAATAAAACAGTTTTATATGCCAGTTAACACAAAACTATTTTGGTCATGAGCCTGAAGTCTAATGACGGTCTATAGTGTAATAAGTAGGCTGTCTCCGGAATCCCTACTCTGCTTTATTCTGTGCATTGTTCTGACCTGTAGCCATTGGTTGATGGACCTAGAGAGGAATTTTACTCTGGATTTTAGTTGCATGAGAGAGTCTTCACTTTCTCTTTTAGCAGTTCATTCTAGCCTCTCATTTTTGCATATATTTTAATCACACATTATTTATAATGCAGTAAAAAAACAGGTTGGAGACAGTTAGTGGAATAAGTGGGTATAAGTGTCTGCTCCCACATTTGGGCAGAATTCCCATAATGAATCTTGGGAGTGAAGGTTTTCAAGAACATACTTAGTTTGAAGGCTGGTAGACCTGTATGGAAACAATGCAAAGGTTAATTCCCTTGTGGCCTACCGTATCCTTTTTCTTCATGTTTCTCCCCTAACTAGCATGCTGGTGGGGGATGATAAGTGACCAGCAGGTAGGTCATCTGATTCTTGGATCCATTGCCCTATGCTGTGGCAAAAAACTTCTACTTGCAATTGTTATTACAACAAAATGTATTTTCCTTTTCTTTCATGTGCCACCCTTTTCACCTGCTGGGGATACAACATGCCAATTTGGAAAATTGAACTATCCATGACAATAGTATGTAGTACACTATAGTATGTAACGTACTATTTATTGTTGTACACTATTTTCCCTATTTATCTGTGGCACGCCTTTTCAGCAAATTCCTTCCATTTTCCCACTGTACTTGAACCAAATGAAGGGACAGAAAATGTGTAGAAAATACACTATGGATTTTTGACAAACACTTTTTTCCTAGTCACATGATTGCGAGATGCTAGATTCACGATCTAGAGATGCTTGATAAATTGGATATTTGCAAACATTTATGCCCAAAATGACCTGGTTTACATCTCCTAAAATTCTGTGTGCACCAGAATAAGTTTGCGTTATCTTGGTTTTGTGATGCTCTAGTCAATGTGATTTGTTCTTGTACTTTATTGTTATTATTGTTTGAGTTATTATTTCTGTCTAGATTTTATTGACTGTTAACTGCCCAAAATAGTGCCTCACTAATGCTGCAGTATAAAACTCTATTAAATGAAGGAACAAACAAACAAACAAAACCAACCAACCAAACATTTGCAGATTTCACAGTTCTCCAAATTTTGAAGTACAGCATTTGGCTCAAAAAGTACCCGGTCGTGTTACAAAATCCATATTTAGGATACAATGAAGTATAAATTTTTATTTTATCTGAAAATACATTTAAATAAATGTATTTATACGAGTTTCATGAAGACTTCATAAAAATGCAAATACCACTACAGAAACTGAAGCATGAAGACCTGCAAAATTGATAGCACAGACTCAAAATATATTGATCCATCCATGCCTCATGAAATCAGATGAGGTTCTTTTTTCCAAAGGGGTCCATTGTATGGAAGACTTCTCCTGAGCAAGAATTTTGCAGCTTGATGTAAAAATTCAGTATAACTTGTATCTTGCTGGGACTGGTTACATTTTTTTATGCAGCCGACTATTACTCATGATGAATAGTATGTACATCCCCTGCAGTACCTCTGGTGCCTTTGTTTATGAGCTGCTGGGGAACATAGGATGGAGGATACTGTCATACTGTTCTGCCTTTTTGGCTACTAGGTGAAAAAAATATCCTGGCCC